GTAAGTTAGCGCGCTGGTGGAGGTTAGCGGACAGGTAAGTTAGTGCGCTGGTAGAAGCTAGCAGGCAGACTAGTTAGTGCTCCGGTGGGGGTTAGTGGGCAGGCAAGTTAGCACGCCGGAGGAGGTTGCGGACGGGTGGTGATACGTCGCGGAGGAGGCTAGCGGGCAGGCAAGTTAGCGCACCGGAGAAGGTTAGTGGGCAGGCAAATTAGTGCTCCGGTGGAGGCTAGTGGGCAGGCCAAGTTAGCGCGTCAGTGGAGGTTAACGGGAAGGTAAGATATGGTGGTGGAGGAGGCTCTCACTCAGGCCCAGTTAGTGCGCCGGAGGAGGTTACCTGGCAGGCAAGTTAGTGCGCCAGTGGAGGGTAGCGGACACGTTAGTGCGCCGGTGGAGGCTAGCGGGCAGGCAAGTTAGTGCGCCGGTGGAGGCTAGTGGACAGGCATGTTAGTGTGCCGGCAAAAGCTAGTGAGTAGGTAAGTTAGCGCTCCGGAGGAGGTTAGTGGGCAGGGCAGGATAGGGCACCGGCGGAGGCTTGTGGACAGGCCGTGATAGGGTGCGGAGGAGACTAATGGGCAGGCATGTTAGCGCACCGGAGAAGGTTACTGGGCAGCCAAGTTAGAGCACCGGTGGAGGCTAGTGGGCAGGCAAAGTTAGTGCGCCGGAGGAGGCTAGTGGGCAGGCACGTTAGTGCGCTGGATGAGGTTAGCGGGCAGGGGAAGGTAGCGCGCTGGAGGAGGTTAGCGGACAGGTAAGTTAGTGTGCTGGAGAAAGCTAGCACGCAGGCCAAGTTAGCTCGCCGTCAGAGTTTAGCGGTCAGGCAAGCTAGTGTGCCAGAAGAGGTTAACGGACAGGTAAGTTAGTGCGATGGAGGAGGCTAGCATTCAGGCCAAGTTAGTGCACCGGTGGAGGCTAGCGGGCAGGTAAGTTAGCGCGCAGGTGGAGGCTATCAGGCAGACTAGTTAGTGCACCGGAGGAGGTTAGTGGGCAGGCAAGTTAGCACGCCGGAGGAGGTTGCGGACTGGTGGTGATACGTCGCGGAGGAGGCTAGCAGGCAGGCAAGTTAGTGCACCGGAGAAGGTTAGTGGGCAGGCAAATTAGTGCTCCGGTGGAGGCTAGTGGGCAGGCCAAGTTAGCGCGTCAGTGGAGGTTAGCGGGAAGGTAAGATATGGTGGTGGAGGAGGCTCTCACTCAGGCCAGGTTAGTGCGCCGGAGGAGGTTACCTGGCAGGCAAGTTAGTGCGCCGGTGGAGGGTAGCGGACACGTTAGTGCGCCGGCGGAGGCTAGCGGGCTGGCATGTTAGTACGCCGGTGGAGGCAAGTGGGCTGGCAAGTTAACGTCTCGGTGGAGGCTAGTGGCCAGGCAATGTAGCGCGCTGGAGGAGGCTAGCACTCAGGCCATGTTAGGGCGCCGGAGGAGGCTAGTGGGCAGGAATGTTAGTGTGCCTGCGAGAGCTAGTGGGTAGGCAAGTTAGCGCTCCGGAGGAGGTTAGTGGGCAGGGCAAGATAGGGCACCGGCGGAGGCTTGTGGACAGGCCGTGATAGGGTGCGGAGGAGACTAGTGGGCAGGCATGTTAGCGCACCGGAGAAGGTTACAGGGCAGCCAAGTTAGAGCGCCGGTGGAGGCTTGTGGGCAAGCAAAGTTAGTGCGCCGGAGGAGGTTAGCGGACAGGTAAGTTAGTGCGCCGGTGGAGGCTAGCGGACAGACATGATAGTGTGCTGGAGGAGGTTAGCGGACAGGCAAGTTAGTGCGCCGATGGAGGCTAGTGGGCAGGCAAGTTAGTGCGCCAGGGGAGGCTATTGTGCAGACAAGTTAGCGCGCCGGAGGAGGTTAGCCGGCATGGCACGGTAGCGCACCAAAGGAGGTTAGCGGGCAGCCAAGTTGGAGCGCCGGTTGAGGCTAGTCGGCAGGTTAATTTAGTGTGCCGAAGGAGGCTAGTAAGCAGGGAAGTTAGTGCGCTAAGGAGGTTAGTGTACAGGTAAGTTAGTGCGCTGGAGGAGGTTAGCGGACAGGTAAGTTAGTGCGCTGGAGAAAGCTAGCACGCAGGCCAAGTTAGCTCGCCGTCAGAGTTTAGCGGTCAGGCAAGCTAGTGCGCCGGAAGAGGTTAACAGACAGGTAAGCTAGTGCGATGGAGGAGGCTAGCATTCAGGCCAAGTTAGTGTGCCGGAGGAGGCTAGCGGGCAGGCTAAGTTAGTGCACGGGTGTAAGCTAGCAGGCAGGCAAGTTAGTGCGCCGGAGGCGGCTAGTGGGCAGGCAAGTTAGTGCGCTGGATGAGGTTAGCGGGCAGGGGAAGGTAGCGCGCTAGAGGAGGTTAGCGGACAGGTAAGTTAGTGTGCTGGAGAAAGCTAGCACGCAGGCCAAGTTAGCTCGCCGTCAGAGTTTAGCGGTCAGGCAAGCTAGTGTGCCAGAAGAGGTTAACGGACAGGTAAGTTAGTGCGATGGAGGAGGCTAGCATTCAGGCCAAGTTAGTGCACCGGTGGAGGCTAGCGGGCAGGTAAGTTAGCGCGCAGGTGGAGGCTATCAGGCAGACTAGTTAGTGCACCGGAGGAGGTGAGTGGGCAGGCAAGTTAGCACGCCGGAGGAGGTTGCGGACTGGTGGTGATACGTCGCGGAGGAGGCTAGCAGGCAGGCAAGTTAGTGCACCGGAGAAGGTTAGTGGGCAGGCAAATTAGTGCTCCGGTGGAGGCTAGTGGGCAGGCCAAGTTAGCGCGTCAGTGGAGGTTAGCGGGAAGGTAAGATATGGTGGTGGAGGAGGCTATCACTCTGGCCAGGTTAGTGCGCCGGAGGAGATTACCTGGCAGGCAAGTTAGTGCGCCGGTGGAGGGTAGCGGACACGTTAGTGCGCCGGCGGAGGCTAGCGGGCTGGCATGTTAGTGCGCCGGTGGAGGCAAGTGGCAGGCAAGTTAACGTCTCGGTGGAGGCTAGTGGCCAGGCAATGTAGCGCGCTGGAGGAGGCTAGCACTCAGGCCATGTTAGGGCGCCGGAGGAGGCTAGTGGGCAGGAATGTTAGTGTGCCTGCGAGAGCTAGTGGGTAGGCAAGTTAGCGCTTCGGAGGAGGTTAGTGGGCAGGGCAAGATAGGGCACCGGCGGAGGCTTGTGGACAGGCCGTGATAGGGTGCGGAGGAGACTAGTGGGCAGGCATGTTAGCGCACCGGAGAAGGTTACAGGGCAGCCAAGTTAGAGCGCCGGTGGAGGCTTGTGGGCAAGCAAAGTTAGTGCGCCGGAGGAGGTTAGCGGACAGGTAAGTTAGTGCGCCGGTGGAGACTAGCGGACAGACATGGTAGTGTGCCGGAGGAGGTTAGCGGACAGGCAAGTTAGTGCGCCGATGGAGGCTAGTGGGCAGGCATGTTAGTGCGCCAGGGGAGGCTATTGTGCAGACAAGTTAGCGCGCCGGAGGAGGTTAGCCGGCAGGGCACGGTAGCGCGCCAAAGGAGGTTAGCAGGCAGCCAAGTTGGAGCGCCGGTGGAGGCTAGTCGGCAGGTTAATTTAGTGCGCCGAAGGAGGCTAGTAAGCAGGGAAGTTAGTGCGCCAAGGAGGTTAGTGTACAGGTAAGTTAGTGTACTGGAGAAAGCTAGCACTCAGGCCAAGTTAGCTCGCCGGAAGAGGCTAGCAGGCAGGCAAGTTAGCGCGCCGGATGAGGTTAGCGGGCAGGGCAAGTTAGTGCGTCCAGGAGGTTAGCGGACAGGTAAGTTAGTGCGCTGAAGGAGGCTAGTGGGTAGGTAAGTTAGCGCGCCGGAGGAGGTTAGCTTGCAGGGCAAGTTAGTGCGCCGGAGGAGGCTTGCGGGCAGGCTAAGTTAGTGCGCTGGTGGAAGCTAGCAGGCAGGCAAGTTAGTGCGCCGGAGGAGGCTAGTGGGCAGGCAAGTTAGTGCGCTGGATGAGGTTAGCGGGCAGGGCAAGGTAGCGCGCCGGAGGAGGTTAGCGGGCAGGGCAAGGTAGCGCGCCGGAGGAGGTTAGCGTGCAGGGAAGTTATTGCGCCAGAGGAGGTTAGCGGGCGGCCAAGTTGGAGCGCTGGTGGAGGCTAGTCGGCAGGTTAAGTTAGTGCGCCGAAGGAGCCTAGTAAGCAGGGAAGTTAGTGCGCCAAGGAGGTTAGTGTACAGGTAAGTTAGCGCGCTGGAGGAGGTTAGCAGACAGGTAAGTTAGTGCGCAGGTGGAGGCTAGCAGGCAGACTAATTAGTGCTCCTGTGGAGATTAGTGGGCAGGCAAGTTAGCACGCCAGAGGAGGTTGCGGACGGGTGGTGATACGTCGCGGAGGAGGCTAGCGGGCAGGCAAGTTAGCGCACCGGAGAAGGTTAGAGGGCAGGCAAATTAGTGCTCCGGTGGAGGCTAGTGGGCAGGCCAAGTTAGCGCGTCAGTGGAGGTTAGCGGGAAGGTAAGATAGGGCGGCGGAGGAAGCTCTCACTCAGGCCCAGTTAGTGCGCCTGAGGAGGTTACCTGGCAGGCAAGTTAGTGCGCCGGTGGAGGGTAGCGGACACGTTAGTGCGCCGGTGGAGGCTAGCGGGCTGGCATGTTATTGCGCCAGTGGAGGCAAGTGGCCAGGCAAGTTAACGTCTCGGTGAAGGCTAGTGGCCAGGCAATGTAGCGCGCCGGAGGAGGCTAGCACTCAGGCCATGTTAGGGCGCCGGAGGTGGTTAGCGGGCAGGCAAGTTAGTGCGCCGGTTGAGGCTAGTGGGCAGGCATGTTAGTGTGCCGGCGAAAGCTAGTGTGTAGGCAAGTTAGCGCTCCGGAGGAGGTTAGTGGGCAGGGCAAGATAGGCACCGGCGGAGGCTTGTGGACAGGCCGTGATAGGGTGCGGAGGAGACTAGTGGGCAGGCAAGTTAGCGCACCGGGGAAGGTTACAGGGCAGGCAAGTTAGTGCGCCGGTGGGGGCTAGCGGGCAGGCTAGTTAGCGTGCAGTATGAGGTTAGCAGGTAGGGCAAAGTAGCGATCCGGAGGAGGTTAGCGTGCAAGTAAGTTACTCCGCCAGTGGAGACTAGCGGGCAGGCATGTCGGTGCGCCGGAGGAGGTTAGCAGACAGGTAAGCTAGTGCGCCGGTGGAGGCTAGCGGGCAGGCAAGTTAGCGCGCCGGAGGAGGTTAGCGGACAGGCAAGATCGTGCGCTGGATGAGGCTAGCACTCAGGCCAAGTTAGCGCGCCGGAGGAGTTTAGCGGACAGGCAAGTTAGTTTGCCGGAGGAGGGTAGCGGGCAGGCAAGTTAGTGCCCCCGTGGAGAGTAGCGGGCAGGCTAGTTAGCGCGCCGGAGGAGGTTAGCAGGCAGGACACGGTAGCGCGCCGGAGGAGGTTAGCGGGCAGCCAAGTTGGAGCGCCGGTCGGGGCTAATCGGTAGGTTAAGTTAGTGCGCCGAATGAGGCTAGTAAGCAGGGAAGTTAGTGCGCCAAGGAGGTTAGTGTACAGGTAAGTTAGTGCGCCGGAGGAGGTTAGCGGACAGGCAAGTTAGTGCGCCAGAAGTGGTTAACGGACAGGTAAGTTAGTCCGATGGAGGAGGCTAACATTCAGGCCAAGTTAGTGCACCGGTGGAGGCTGGCGGGCAGACAAGTTAGTGCGCCGGATGAGGTTAGCGGACAGGCAAGTTAGTGCGCCGATGGAGACTTGCGGACGGGTCGTGATACGACGCGGTGGAGGCTATTGTGCAGAGAAGTTAGCGTGCCGGAGAAGTTTAGTGGGCAGGCAAATTAGTGCTCCAGTGGAGGCTATTCGGCAGGCCAAGTTAGCGCGTCAGTGCAGGTTATCGGGAAGGTAAGATAGGGCGGCGGAGGAGGCTATCACTCAGGCCAAGTTAGTGCGCCGGAGTAGGTTACCTGGCAGGCAAGTTAGTGCGCCGGTGGAGGGTAGCGGACACGTTAGTGTGCCGGTGGAGGCTAGCGGGCTGGCATGTTAGTGTGCCAGTGGAGGCAAGTGGGCTGGCAAGTTAGCGTCTCGGTGGAGGCTACTGGCCAGGCAATTTAGCGCGCCGGAGGAAGCTAGCACTCAGGCCATGTTAGGGCTCCGGAGGAGGTTAGCGGGCAGGAAAGTTAGTGCGCCGGTGGAGGCTAGTCATCAGGTTAATTTAGTTCGCTGAAGGAGGCTACTAAGCAGGCAAGTTTGTGCGCCAAGGAGGTTAGCGGACAGGTAAGTTAGTGCGCTGGTGGAGGCTAGCGGTTAGGTAAGTTAGCGCGCCGGAGGAGGTTAGCTTACAGGGCAAGTTAGTGTGCCGGTGGAGGCTAGCGGGCAGGCAAGTTTGTGCGCTGGTGGAGGCTAGTGGGCAGGCAAGTTAGTGCGCTGGATGAGGTTAGCGGGCAGGGCAAGGTAGCGCGCCCAAGGAGGTTAGCAGGCAGCCATGTTAGAGCGCCGGTGTAGAATAGTGGGCAGGCCAAGTTAGTGCGCCGGAGGAGGTTAGCGGACAGGTAAGTTAGTGCGCCGGTGGAGGCTAGCGTGCAGGCAAGTTAGCGCGCTGGCAAAAGCTAGTGGGCAGGCAAGTTAGTGCGCCGGAGTAGGTTAGTGGTCAGGACAAGATATTGCGCCGGCGGAGGCTTGTGGACAGTCCGTGATACGGTGCGGAGGAGACTATTGGGCAGGCATGTTAGCGCCCTGGAAAAGGTTACAGGACAGGTAAGTTAGTGCGCCGGTGGAGGCTAGCGGACAGACATGGTAGTGCGCCGGAGGAGGTTAGCGGACAGGGAAGTTAGTTCGCCGGTGGAGGCTAGCAGGCAGGCATGTTAGTGCACCAGGAGAGGCTATTGTGCTGACAAGTTAGCACTCCGGAGGAGGTTAGCAGGCCGGGCATGGTAGCGCGCTGGAGGAGGTTAGCGGGCAGCCAAGTTCGAGCGCCGGTGGAGGCTAATTGGCAGGTTAAGATAGTGCACCGAAGGAGGCTAGTAAGCAGGGAAGTTAGTGCGCCAAGGTGGTTAGTGTACAGGTAAGTTAGTGCGCCGGAGGAGGTTAGCGGACAGGGAAGTTAGTGCGCTGGAGAAAGCTAGCACGCAGGCCAAGTTAGCTGGCCGGCAGAGGTTAGCGGGCAGGCAAGCTAGTGCGCCAGAAGAGGTTAACAGGCAGGTAAGTTAGTGCGATGGAGGAGGCTAGGATTCAGGCTAAGTTAGTGCGCCGGTGGAGGCTAGTGGGCAGGCATGTTAGCGCGCCGGCGAAAGCTAGTGGGCAGGCAAGTTAGCGCGCCGGAGGAGGTTAGTGGTCAGGACAAGATAATGAGCCGGCAGAGGCTTGTGGACAGTCCGTGATACGGTGCGGAGGAGACTATTGGGCAGGCATGTTAGCGCACCGGATAAGGTTACAGGACAGGCAAGTTAGCGCGCCGGAGGAGGCTAGCGGACAGGTAAGTTAGTGCGCCGGTGGAGGCTAGCGGGCAGGCAAGATAGTGCGCCCGAGGAGGCTAGTGGGCAGGCAAGTTAGCGTGCTGGATGAGGTTAGCAGGCAGGGCAAGGTAGCGCGCCGGAGGAGGTTAGCTGGCAGGTAAGTTAGTTCGCCGGTGGAGGCTAGCAGGCAGGCATGTCAGTGCGCCGGAGGAGGTTAGCGGACAGGTAAGCTAGTGCGCTGGGGGAGGCTAGCGGGCAGGCATGTTAGCGCGCCGGAGGAGGTTAGCGGACAGGCAAGATAGTGCGCTGGATGAGGCTAGCACTTTGGCCAAGTTAGCGCACCGGAGGAGGTTAGCGGACAGGCAAGTTAGTGTGCTGGTGGAGGCTAGCGGGCAGTCATGTTAGCACCTCGCTGGAGGCTAGTGGGCAGGCAATTTAGCGCGCCGGAGGAGGCTAGCACTCAGGCCATGTTAGAGCACCGGAGAATGTTAGAAGGCAGACATGATAGCTCGCCGGCGGAGGTTAGCGAGCAGGCTAGTTAGTGTGCCGGTGGAGGCTATTGGGCAAACCAAGGTAGTGCGTCAGTGGAGGTTAGTGGGCAGGGCAAGGTAGTGCGCCGGTGGAGGCTAGCGGGCAGCCAAGTTGGAGCGCCAGTGGAGGCAATTGGGCAGGCCAAGTTAGTGCGCCAGAGGAGGTTAGCGGGCAGGCAAGTTAGTGCACCGGTGGAGGGTAGCGGACACGTTAGTGTGCCGGTGGAGGCTAGCGGGCTGGAATGTTAGTGCGCCAGTGGAGGCAAGTGGGCTGGCAAGTTAGCGTCTCGGTGGAGGCTACTGGCCAGGCAATTTAGCGCGCCGGAGGAAGCTAGCACTCAGGCCATGTTAGGGCTCCGGAGGAGGTTAGCGGGCAGGAAAGTTACTGCGCCGGTTCAGGCTAGTCATCAGGTTAATTTAGTTCGCTGAAGGAGGCTACTAAGCAGGCAAGTTTGTGCGCCAAGGAGGTTAGCGGAGAGGTAAGTTAGTGCGCCGGTGGTGGCTAGCAGTTAGGTAAGTTAGCGCGCCGGAGGAGGTTAGCTTACAGGGCAAGTTAGTGCGCCGGTGGAGGCTAGAGGGCAGGCAAGTTTGTGCGCTGGTGGAGGCTAGTGGGCAGGCAAGTTAGTGCGCTGGATGAGGTTAGCGGGCAGGGCAAGGTAGCGCGCCCAAGGAGGTTAGCAGGCAGCCATGTTAGAGCGCCGGTGTAGAATAGTGGGCAGGCCAGGTTAGTGCGCCGGAGGAGGTTAGCGGACAGGTAAGTTAGTGTGCCGGTGGAGGTTAGCGGGCAGGCATGTCAGCGCGCTGGAGGAGGTTAGCGGACAGGCAAGTTAGTGTGCCGGAGGAGGGTAGCATGCAGACAATGTAGTGCACCGGTGGAGGCTTGCGGGCAGTCATGTTAGCACCTCGCTGGAGGCTACTGGCCAGGCAATTTAGCGCACCGGAGGAGGCTAGAACTCAGGCCATGTTAGGTCCCTGAGGAGTTTAACGGGCAGGCTAGTTAGTGCGCCGGTGGTGGCTGTTGGGCCGGCCAAGATAGTGCGTCAGTGGAGGTTAGCGGGCAGGGCAAGTTAGTGCGCCGGTGGAGATTAGCGGGCAGGCAAGTTAGAGCGCCCGTGCAGTCTAGTGGGCAGGCCAAGTTAGTGCGCCGGAGGAGGTTAGCGGACAGGTAAGTTAGTGCGCCGGTGGAGGCTAGCGGGCAGGCATGTTAGTGCGCCGGAAAAGGTTAGCGGACAGGCAAGTTAGTGCGCCGGTGGAGGCTAGCGGGTGGGCATGTTAGTGCGCTGGAGGAGGTTAGCGGACAGACAAGTTACTGCGCCAGCGGAGGCTGTTGTGCAGACAATTTAGCGCGCCGGAGGAGGTTAGCAGACACGGCACGGTAGCACGCCGGAGGAGGTTAGCAGGCAGCCAAGTTGGAGCGCCGGTCGAGGCTAGTCGGCAGGTTAAGTTAGCGCGCCAAAGAATGCTAGTAAGCAGGGAAGTTAGTGCGCCAAGGAGGTTAGTGTACAGGTAAGTTAGTGCGCCGGAGGAGGTTAGCGGACAGGTAAGTTAGTGCGCTGGAGAAAGCTAGCACTCTGGCCAAGTTAGCTCGCCGGAAGAGGTTAGCGGGCAGGCAAGTTAGTGCGCCAGAAGAGGTTAACGGACAGGTAAGTTAGTGCGATGGAGGAGGCTAGCATTCAGGCTAAGTTAGTGCACCGGTGGAGGCTAGCAGGCAGGTAAGTTAGGGTGGCGGAGGAGGCTAGCAGGCAGACAAGTTAGTGCGCCGGAGGAGGTTAGTGGGCAGGCATTTAGCGCGCTGGAGGAGGCTAGTGGGTACTGCAAGTTAGCGCGTCAGAGGAGCTTAGCGGACACGTTAGTTAGTGCGCCAGTGGAGGCTAGCGGGCAGGCATGTTAGCGCGCCGGCAAAAGCTAGTGGGCAGGCAAGTTAGCGCGCCGGAGGAGGTTAGTGGTCAGGGCAAGATATTGCGCTGGCGGAGGCTTGTGGACAGTCCGTGATACGGTGCGGAGGAGACTAGTGGGCAGGCATGTTAACGCACCGGAGAAGGTTACAGGACAGGCAAGTTAGTGCGCTGGTGGAAGCTAGTAGGCAGGCAAGTTAGTGCGCCCGAGGAGGCTAGTGGGCAGGCAAGTTAGCGTGCTGGTTGAGGTTAGCAGGGAGGGCAAGGTAGCGCGCCTTAGGAGGTTAGCTGGCAGGTAAGTTAGTTCGCCGGTGGAGGCTAGCTGGCAGGCATCTTAGCGCGCCGGAGGAGGTTAGCGGACAGGCAAGATAGTGCGCTGGAGGAGGCTAGCACTTTGGCCAAGTTAGCGCGCCGGAGGAGGTTAGCGGACAGGGAAGTTAGTGTGCCGGAGGAGGGTAGCGGGCCGGCAAGTTAGTGCGCTGGTGGAGGCTACCGGGCAGTCATGTTAGCACCTCGCTGGAGGCTAGTGGGCAGGCAATTTAGCGCGTCGGAGGAGGCTAACACTCAGGCCATGTTAGAGCGCCGGAGAATGTTAGAAGGCAGACATGATAGTTCGCCGGCGGAGGTTAGCGGGTAGGCTAGTTAGTGTGCCGGTGGAGGCTATTGGGCAAACCAAGGTAGTGCGTCAGTGTAGGTTAGTGGGCAGGGCAAGGTAGTGCGCCGGTGGAGGCTAGCGGGCAGCCCAGGTTTGCGCGCCGGTGGAGGCTAGTGGGCAGGCAAGTTAGCACGTCGGTGAAGGTTAGCTTGCAGGGCAAGTTAGCGTGTTGGTGGACGCTAGCGGGCAGTCCAAGTTAGTGCGCCGGTAGAGGCTAGAGGGCAGGCAAATTAGTGCGCCACAGGAGGTTAGCAAGCAGGCCAAGTTAGCGCGCCGGTGGAGGCTATCGGCCAGGCAAGTTAGTGCGCCGGAGGAGGCTTGTGGGCAGGCAAGTTAGGACGCCGGAGGAGGTTAGCAGCCTGGGCAAGTTAGCACACTGGAGTAGGCTAGCGGACAGGCCAAAATAGGGCACGGAAAAGGCTAGTGGGCAGTCATGGTAGCGCACCGGAGAAGGTTAGAGGTCAGGCTAGTTAGTGCGCCGGTGGAGGCTAGTGGGCAAGCAAGTTAGCGCGTCGGTGGTGGCTCGCAGCCAGGCAATTTAGCGTGCCAGAGGAGGCTAGCACTCCGGCCATGTTAGGGCTCCGGAGGTGGTTAGCGGGCAGACAAGTTAGTGCGCCAGTGGAGGTTAGCGGGCAGGCATATTAGCGCGTCGGCGGAGGCTACGGTGTAGGCAAGTTAGTACGCCGGTGGAGGCTAGCGGGCAGGCAGGTTAGTGCGCCGGCGGAGGCTAGCGGGCGGGCAAGTTAGCGCGTTGGTGGAGGCTAGCGGCCTGGCAATTTAGCGCGCCAGCGGAGGCTAGCACTCAGGCATTGTTAGGGCGCCGGAGGAGGCTAGTGGGCAGGCTTATTAGCGCGTCAGCGGAGGTTAGTGGGCAGGGGAAGCTAGCACATCGATGGAGGTTAGCAGACAGGCAAGTTACTGTGCCTGAGGAGGCTCGCACTCAGGCCAAGTTAGCACGCCGCCGCAGGTTAGCGGGCAGGCCAAGTTAGTGCGCCGGAGGAGGCTAGTCTGCAGGCATTTTAGCGCGCTGGCGGAGGCTAGCGGGCAGCCCAGGTTTGCGCGCCGGTGGAGGCTAGTGGGCAGGCAAGTTAGCACGTCGGTGAAGGTTAGCTTGCAGGGCAAGTTAGCGTGTTGGTGGACGCTAGCGGGCAGTCCAAGTTAGTGCGCCGGTAGAGGCTAGAGGGCAGGCAAATTAGTGCGCCACAGGAGGTTAGCAAGCAGGCCAAGTTAGCGCGCCGGTGGAGGCTATCGGCCAGGCAAGTTAGTGCTCCGGAGGAGGCTTGTGGGCAGGCAAGTTAGGACGCCGGAGGAGGTTAGCAGCCTGGGCAAGTTAGCACACTGGAGTAGGCTAGCGGACAGGCCAAAATAGGGCACGGAAAAGGCTAGTGGGCAGTCATGGTAGCGCACCGGAGAAGGCTAGAGGTCAGGCTAGTTAGTGCGCCGGTGGAGGCTAGTGGGCAGGCAAGTTAGTGCACTGGAGGAGGCTAGCTTGCAGGGCAAGTTAGCGCGCCGGCAGAGGCAAGTGGGCAGGACATGTTAGTGCGCCTGTGGAGGCTAGTGGGCAGGCAAGTTAGTGCGCCGGAGGAGGTTAGTGTGCAGGGCAAGTTAGTGCGCCAGAGGAGGCTAGTGTGCAGGCCGAGCTAGTACGCCGGAGGAGGCTAGTGGGCAGGCATGTTAGTGCGACGGAGGAGGTTAGCAGGTAGGCCAAGTTAGCGTGGCGGCAGAGGCTAGTGGGCAGGCCAAGTTAGTGTGCCGGAGGAGGTTAGAGGCCAGGGCAAGTTAGCGCACCGGTGGAGGCTACCGGGCAGGCCAATTCAGTGCGCCGGTGCAGGCAAGAGGGCAGGCAAGTTATTGCGCCAGAGGAGGCTAGTGGTCAGGCCAAGTTAGTGCGCCGGTGGAGGCTAGTGGGCCAGGCAATTTAGCACGCCGGAGTATGCTAGCACTCAGGCCAAGTTAGGGCGCCAGAGGAGGTTAGTGGGCAGGCAAGTTAGTGCGCCGGAGGAGGATAGCGGGCAGGCAAGTTAGTGCGCTGGAGGAGGCAAGAGGGCAGGCAAGTTAGTGCGCCAGAGGAGGCTAGTGGTCAGGCCAAGTTAGCGCGTTGGTGGAGGCTAGCGGGCAGGCTAAGTTAGTGCGCCGGTGGAGGCTAGCGGGCATGCAAGTTAGTGCGCTGGAGGAGGCTAGTGGGCAGACAAGTTAGGGTGCTGGTGGAGGTTAGCGGGCAGGGCAAGTTAGCACGCCGGCGGAGGCTTGTGGACAGGCCAAGATAGGATGCCGGAGGAGGCTTGTGGGAAGGCAAGTTAGCTCAAGGGAGGAGGTTAGCTTGCAGGGCAAGTTAGCGCGCCGGCAGAGGCAAGCGGGCAGGACATGTTAGTGCGCCTGTGGAGGCTAGGGGGCATGCAAGTTAGTGCGCCATAGGAGGCTAGTGGGCAGGCAAGTTAGCGCGCCGGAGGAGGTTAGTGTGCAGGGCAAGTTAGTGCGCCGGAGGAGGCTAGTGGGCAGGCCGAGCTAGTACGCCGGAGGAGGCTAGTGGGCAGGCATGTTAGCGCGATGGAGGAGGTTAGCAGGTAGGCCAAGTTAGCGTGGCGGCAGAGGCTAGTGGGCAGGCCAAGTTAGTGTGCCGGAGGAGGTTAGAGGCCAGGGCAAGTTAGCGCACCGGTGGAGGCTACCGGGCAGGCCAATTCAGTGCGCCGGTGCAGGCAAGAGGGCAGGCAAGTTATTGCGCCAGAGGAGGCTAGTGGTCAGGCCAAGTTAGCGCCGGTGGAGGCTAGCGGGCCAGGCATTTTAGCGCGCCGGAGTATGCTAGCACTCAGGCCAAGTTAGGGTGCCGGAGGAGGTTAGTGGGCAGGCAAGATAGTGCGCCAGAGGAGGATAGCGGGCAGGCAAGTTAGTGTGCCGGAGGAGGCAAGAGGGCAGGCAAGTTAGTGTGCCAGAGGAGGCTAGTGGTCAGACCTAGTTAGCGCGTCGGTGGAGGCTAGCGGGCAGGCTAAGTTAGTGCGCCGGTGGAGGCAAGCCGGGCATGCAAGTTAGTGCGCCGGAGGAGGCTAGTGGGCAGACAAGTTAGGGTGCTGGTGGAGGTTAGCGGGCAGGGCAAGTTAGCACGCCGGCGGAGGCTTGTGGACAGGCCAAGATAGGATGCCGGAGGAGGCTTGTAGGCAGGCAATTTAGCTCATGGGAGGAGGTTAGCTCGCAGGGCAAGTTAGCAAGCCGGTGGAGGGTAGAGGGCAGGCAAGTTAGTGCACCGGAGGAGGTTAGCGGGCAGTAAAGTTAGTGCGCCGGAGGAGGTTAGCGGGCAGGCAATTTAGGGCGTCGGATGAGCTTAGCGAATAGGCCATGTTAGCACACCGATGGAGGCTAACTGGCAGGCCAAGATTGTACGCTAGCCGAGGCTAGTGGGCAGGAAAGTTAGCGTGCCGGAGGAGGCTAGCGGACAGGCCAAGTTAGTGCGCCTGAGGAGGCTAGCGGGCAGGCAAGTTAGCGCACCGGTGGAGGCTAACTGGCAGGCCAAGATAGCACGCTAGCAGAGGCTAGTAGGCAGGAAAGTTAGCGTGCCGGCAGAGGCTACCGGACAGGCCAGGTTTGCATGTTGTCAGAGGCTAGCAGGCAGGTCAGGAGAGTGCGCCGGCGGAGGCTAGTTGATAAGCTAAGTTAGCGCGCCTTTGGAGGCTAGCAGGCAGGACAAGTTAGTGTGCCAGTTGAGGCTAGCGGGTAGGTAAGTTAGCACGCTGTCATAGGATAGCAGGCCGGCCAAGTTTGCACACCAGGAGAGGCTAGCATGCTGGCCAGGTTAGCGTGCTGGCAGAGGCTAGTGGGCAGGCCTAGTTATCGTGCCGGCAGAGGCTAGCAGGCAGGCCAATTTAGAGTACCGTTGGAGGTTAGCGGGCAGGCCAAGTTAGTGGGCAGGAGTGGGCTAGTTGATATGCGAAGTTAGTGCGCTGGCGGCGGTTAGTGGGCAGGCCAATATAGCGCGTCGGCGGAGGCTAGCAGGTAGGTAAGTTTGCATGCCGGTGGAGGCTTGCAGGCATGCTAAGTTAGCTTGCAGGCAGAGGCTAGCGGGCAGGCCTAGCTAGCGTGCCAGCGGAGGCTAGCAGGCAGGCCAATTTAGCACGACATTTGTTGTTAGCGGACAGGCCAAGTTAGCACATTGGAGGAGGCTAGTTGATAAGCTAATTTAGCACGCCGGCAGAAGCTAGCAGGCAGGCCAAGTTAGCGCACCAGAAGAGGCTAGCGGCAGGCTAAGATAGAGCATCGGCGGAGGCTAGCATTTAGGTAAGTTAGCATGCCGGCGGAGGCTAGCATCAGTCCAAGTTAGCGCGCCGGCGGATGCTAGTTGATAAGCTAAGTTAGTGTGCCGTCGGAGGCTAGTGGGCAGGCCTACTTAGTGCTCTGGTGGAGGTTACTTGATTAGCTAAGTTAGCGCACCGGCGAAGGCTAGTTGGTAAGCCAAGTTCGCGCTTGTGGAGGTTAGCAGGCAGGCCAAGTTAGTGCGCTGGCGGAGGTTAATTGATTAGCTAAGTTAGCACGCCGGCAGAGGCTAGTTGATAAGCCAAGTTATTGCGCCGGCGGAGGCTAGCAGGCAGGCCATGTTAGCGCGCTGGTGGAGGCTAGTTGATAAGCTAAGTTAGTGCGCTGGTGGGGGGTGACAGGCAGGTCAATTTAGTGTGCCGTTGGAGGTTAGCAGTCAGGCCAAGTTAGTGCACCGGTGGAGACAAGCGGGCAGGCCAAGTTAGGGCGCAGGTGGAGGCTAGCGGGCAGGCCTAGTTAGAGCGCCGTTAGAGGCTAGTTGGTAAGGTAAGTTAGCGTGCCAGCAGAGGCTGGTTTATAAAGTAAGTTAGTGCGCGGTGAAGGCTAGTGTGTAGGCCAGGTTAGTGTGCTGGCACAGGCTAGCGGGCAGGCCACGTTAATACGCTGGCGGAGGCTTGTGGGCAGCTAAATTAGCATGCCGACAGAGGCTAGCGGGTAGGCATTGTTAGTGTGCTGGCAGAGGCCAGCTGGCATGCCAAGTTAGCGCACCTGTGGAGGCTAGCGGGCAGGTCAAGTTAGCCCGCCGAATGAGGCTAGCAGGCAGGCCAAGTTAGCGCGCCGGTGGTGGCTAGTGGACTGGCCAAGTTAGTGTGCCGGCAGAGGCTAGCCGACAGGCCAAGTTGGCGTTCAGGCAGAGGCTAGTTGATAAGGTAAATTAGCGTGCCGGTGGACACTAGCTGTTAAGCCAAGTTATCGCGCCGGTGGAGGCTAGTGGGCAGGCCAAGTTTGTGTGCCGGTGGAGGCAATCGGGCAGGCCATTTTAGCGCGTTGGTGGAGGCTAGTTGTTATGCTAAGTTAGCGTGGCGGCGGAGGCTAGCAAGCAGGCCACGTTAGCACGCCAGCAGAGGCTAGCAGGCAGGTAAATTAGTGCGCTGATGGAGGCTAGCGAGCAGGCCAAGTTAGCGCGCTGGCAGAGGCTAGTGGGAAGGCCAAGTGTCATGGTTCTATGTTTTTGTTTTTGTTTTTTTGGTTTTGGATTTCAGTATTCCATATCAAAACATCATGTAGTGTACGGGCATTGAAGTGTCACTGCCCCAGTTCCAAGTTCCTATCCCTGTACATTACAGAAATCACGGGATCTGGCCCTTCCGGGTGGGGGGGGCATTCTCTTGCTGCCTTGCAGTGGATGCTGGAGGGTGCTTTCCTAGCCGTTCCAAGCTTTTCAGGTTTGACTCAGTCCCAGGAACTCTCTCTCACTTATCTTGTCTGATTTATTAATCTCAATTTCAATTAAATTGTATAAATTTTGTTATTTTGTATTCCAATATTATAGCAAAATAAGTTTTCCTCCATAGATTGTTGCCGCTGCTCTTTTCCTCCCTTCCTTCCTTCCCATTTTTTGTGGGACTGGGGTGGGGGGGGAGGGCAGAGGCCTGTCGCCCCTGTCACGGACATAGATTGATCTAGTCAACTCCGTGACAGATTTTTGGCGCCCAACGTGGGGCTTGCTACTTTTTAGCTTTTAGAACGAATCTTCTTTTCTCTCTGCTCTTAGAGAGCTTCGTTAGGGAGCATTATCAGTAGTTCAGGTTTCTGTGCTGGAAAATCTGACCTTGAAAGATTAGGCGTACTGCCAGTGTTCTGGGATATTTGTAAACTTTGAGCACTACTTCGTCTGTGTAGTGCCTTTTTTTCCTTTTTTTTCCCCTCCTCTTGTTAGCTTCAATTCATTAACCCCTTTTTAGCAGGCACCACTGATGAACCCACTCGTTATCGTGGGGGTGCTGGGTAAAGGATTAAAAGCAATGGTGTTATTCACAACCTACTGGCCAGTAATCCAGCTCATAATTATGTGTTGTGGAATTGCAACCATATATAGGTACCTAATGACACTGATGGAGACACCTATGTTTTACCTATTAGCAATGTGGTATGATTTGAACTTTGACATTTACATCCCAGAAGGAATGGCTAATTTCACAAACAACTACATCCCAAATGGAATAGCTAATTTTACAAACAACACGATGTTCAGACCAGTCTCCGGGTTTTCTTCTCGGTTTGTCAAACATTTTTTTGAATCCTGAATTAATAGTCATGTTGGTGTGCATGTCATCAATTCTCCTGAATGTATTCCAATTCATTCGTAATAAGGGGAAAGAGTCTTCTCCAAAACTAGAGAATGATGACTGGCAGGGGATATGGAGAGGTTTAGGAAAGGTCTTAGAAGCATGGGGACCCGCAGTGTCATGGGATTTTACTCTTGAACACCTGTGGGATCCTGAGAAACTAAGCCAGTATTTGAGTCAGGGACGATGCGGCTTACATAAATCTAAGGAGGTACAACTTATTTGGGGTTTGGCTTATGCTTACCGTGCCCTATATAATACCATTCTGGAGAGAGAGAGTTTCCGAGCTGAGGTTCAAGCCAAAGGGGAAAATCCCCAAGTCAAATCTAATCGATCACAGGAGACACCAGTAACAATACCAGTTGCTCCTGTGGAGGGCAAGAAATGGAAATGAGTGTCTTTGTGTCTTGAACGAAAAAGAGAAGAAGAGGAGGAGGAGGTGGAGGAAGATCCAGGCAAGGGGCCCTCCTCAGAACCACCACCATCGTGAAAGGCAAAAGGGAAAACTAAAAGACGTGCAGAAGAGAGTGATGAAGAGGAAGTCTCTTACTACTCGCTGGCCTCTAAAGATGACTGAAATCCAAGGTTCAAGAAAGGAGTTTACACAGCGCCCGAATAAAACTCTTGTTTCCTGGTTGGTTCGCTGTTGGGACAGTGGGGCCCATAGCTTGTCTCTGGATGGTAATGAAGCTCGCCAACTAGGTGCCATTGCCAGAGATCCAGCTATTGATAGAGGAATTAGTCGATGTTCGGATGAGGCTGCCTCCCTCTGGGAACGAGTGTTAACAGCCGTGAAGGAAAAGTATCCCTTCAAAAATGGCTTGAAGATTGCAATGATAAAATGGGATACAGTTGAAAAGGGTATCCAGTATTTGAGGGAAATAGGCATGGTGGAAGTGTTGTATGACCCTGACTTTGTTCCTAACCACCCACACCAAAACCGCAACCTTGAAAAAGTGAGGACAACGCCTGAGATACGGCAGAAAATCGTGACAACAGCGCCGGACAAATATGCTTCTACACTAATGTCAGCGTGTGACAGATACAACGAACAACAGAGAACACCCTTAATTTATGAATTAATTGTTACGCTCCAAAATTACGAACAATTGCTGTCCCCAATTCATGCTGCCGTTGCTGCTATATCAAAAATGACGGAGCAAGTGTCTCAACTGATTAACCATGACACCAAGTTATCACGCCAGTGGAGGCTATCGGCAGGCCATGTTAGATCGCCGGTGGAGGCTAGGTGATAAGCTAAGTTAGCTCGCCGGTGGATGCTAGTTGATAAGCCAAGTTAGCACTCTGGCGGAGGTTACCGGGTAGGCCAAGTTAGCAAGTTAGATAGGCAAAGTTTGCACGCTGGCGGAGGCTAGCATTTAGGCCATGTTAGCGCACCAGCTGAGTCTAGGGGGCAGGCCAAGTTAGCATGCCAGTGGAGACCAGCAGGCAGGCCAAGTTGGGGCACCAGCGGTGGCTAGCGGATAGGCCAAGTTAGCTCGCTGGCAGAGGTTAATGGGCAGGCCTAGTTGGTGCGCTGGCAGAGGCTAGCAGGCAGGCAAAGTAAGCACTCCAGTGCAGGCTTGTTGATAAGGTAAGTTAGTGCACCAACGGAGGCTAGTTGATAAGCTAAGTTCGCGTGCTGGTGGTGGCTAGCGGGCAGGCCAATTTAGCGTGTCGGCGGAGGCTAGCATGCAGGCCAAGTTAGTGCTTTGGCGGAGGCTAGCATGCAGGCCATATTAGCGTGCCTGTGTAGACTTGTGGGCAGGCCAAGTTAGCGTGCCAGCAGAAGATCGCGGGCAGGCCACGTTAATACGCCAGTGGAGGCTAGCGGGCAGCTAAATTAGCGCACTGGCAGAGGCTAGCAGGTAGGCCATGTTAGTGCGCTGGCAGAGGCAAGCTGGCAGGCCAAGTTAGAGCGGCTGTGGAGGCTAGTGGGCAGG